TGGGGTCTTCGCTGGTGTAATTTTTTCTCGTATACGTACATGTGTGTACAAACAATACACATACATACACACACACACACGTGCAATCCTCCCTCTGTTTGATATTCGTCAATGTACTTCCTGCTTTCAGAGGTGAAAACATGTAGCCACTGAGGCAGTACGTTGGGGTTCTTGGTTTAGCTCCTGGCCATACAATGGAATTTTTTACTGTGTCCAGGTCCTGGGCTTAGCCTGGTTGCCATACGATTTGAAAAACGGCAGGTACGTTTGCACGGGCTTACTGGGGGGGTCTTCGTTGACCCCGCGGGGCCCCGGTGGCCCCCTGCAATACTGGACAACTGAAAAGGACTCCTGGTGACAGAATTCCCCACACACAGAAAGCCACTAAGGCATAAAAGAAAAAGGCTCCATGCGGTTGGCTGTGAAGCCTTAAAACGAAATAGAAAAGAGATGCAGCTGTAGCCCGCCCTTGGGCCTTGAAAAAGGCCTCTCGGGTGCGAGAACTGAAAAAGAAGGAGGAATGTGACTCTGAAACGACAAATGTGGAAAAAGGAAAAGGAAACAGAAAAGGGGTGGCCCACGTTGGGCACTTCAAACCCAGTTAGAGGACTGCGCTGGCTGTTCGCAAGTCTTACAGAATGCCGCAGCCCTGCAGCGCGTGTCCTATAAGCCTATTAGTACGCCCAAGCATCTGCAGATCGCAAGTCTTACCAAGCTGCCGCAGCCCCGCAGTGCTTGCCGACCGACGGCTGTAACCAGCCTAGGCATTTGAGAAACTCTCAAGTCATGCTTTTGCCATGTTGCCACTTGTTTGAGCTATCGTCCCAGCTTTCTCCGTACCAGTCGGACATGGCTTCGCAACAGAAAAGATCGGTGGGAGGATATTCGAGCTTTGCTAGCTTCTGCACCTGATGGGGCCCGGCGGACCCAAGGCTGAACATCTGCGAGGCTCAGCATCCTGAGCAAAACAGAAATTTTCAGCCTGTCACCTACTCGTTCAGGAGCTTGATTGTGTCTTTCCAAACACAGAAGTCACTCGATTGAACCGTACAGGGTTCAGCAACTGGTAGCCGATCAGGGCTCAATCAGATGGAACCGTACAGGGTTTGAACCGATCAGGGTTCATTGCAGTAGGCACTCCTACCGTAGACGGCACGTTGAACGAACAACCGTCTAGATACACACTTGTGCAATCCTCCCTGTGTTTGGTATTCGTCAATGTACTTCCTACTTTCAGAGGTGAGGACAAATGTAGCCACTTAGGCAGTACATTGGGGTTCTTGGCTTAGCTCCTGGCCATACAATGGAATTCTTTACTGTGTCCAGGTCCTAGGCTTAGCCTGGTTGCCATACGTTTTGAAAAAGGGCAGGTATATACGTTTGCACGGGCTTACCGGGGGGGTCTTCGTTGACCACCGCCCCGCGGGGCCCCGGTGGCCCCCTGCAATACTGGACAAATGAAAAGGACTCTTGGTGACAGAGTTCCCCACACACACAAACCGCAAACACACATATTGCATCATATTGCATAACTTGTATGGTGGCTGGTCTTATCAGGTTCAGTCAGTGTGCGCACGGAGACAAATACGTAGTGCTGAATCAAGCCCATTTGCACCACGCCTTTGGGCTGCAAAAGGTTGCCGGTGCCTACCTTGGCAGCAAGCACTGCTTGCAGGAATTTGTGTTGCAGTGCTTGGATGTACGAAGTATCGAATATCAAAACAAAACCCCACCAGTTTCGTGCTGAAGGTCCAGATCCTCGCGCATCAGAGGTCGTCGAGCCAGTGTTCTGCCGCCCATCTTGCTGAAACATGGTGATGTCGGCGGAACTGCCATGATCGGAGCAAAATATCCTTGGCATGTCAAAACATCAGCGCATGTCTCTGCATCTACGGAATGGTCTGCCACCAACGGTGGGGAGGGCAGTCGGTCGCATCTGAGGCAGTCAGCTGTCTAGCAGATGCTGCCAATACTGTAGGCAGCGGACTGCGTGCCAGGTTTGCCGGGCGTTGCCAGACATAGTGAGCCAACGTAAGCACGTTTCTGATCATGTAAAGGAAGCACTTTCAGTTCATGCCGAAACGCGGAAAATACATGGACGGTGGCATACACGCTGGGCACACTTCTTGACAAGGTACCATAGCATGTAGCCGAAGTGCACGCTGGTGAACTAGGCATTGCCGAGCCAGTCGCCGCCTAGCAGACCACCCGCAGTTCCAACCCGCATCGCCACATTGTTGAGTCGAGTATTTCGTCACCAAGAACTGCGGACAAGATATGGGAAGATTCTCTTCCAGGCCAGTTCAGACGCTCAAGAACAAGGGCATGCAGGAGCCCAATGTACAGGGGTACCTAACTCGCTCCCGAGGATGAAAGCTCGATTTAAGAGCTGATAATAATTCCTGGCAAGCCGCATGCCAGGTGGCATCACTTGAGTAACCAGCGGCCCCCAAGCTCATACTGCCGTAGAGGCGGGAGCCAGGGGGTGATTTCAACATATTTCAACAAGCTTATTAATTATTATCTGTGCGAATCGAGAAGCTGGGGGCAGCGCTACAGGAACCGCAGGGATCGGCCTTACAGACCGCTTGCAGGCTGAATGTTTGCGCATCGACGCACATGTGGAGCTACCCGCATTTCGTTTACAGAGCCAGGATGCTCCGCAAGTTGACGTGCAAAATCAACAAGGCAGGTGCCTGCGTGCACATCTCCACAAGGCAAGATGCGGTGCATCTCTCGGGGTCTGGCATGACTTGCAAGCAAGCAGCGGCTGTATCTCAAAGGAACGTCACCACCAGGAAAGAGATCCACGGCTCGATTTGCCCTGATCCTTGAATCGAGAAGGCGTGGGCCAAAGCCAAGTCAGAGTTTCACGACGAGCCACAATCACCTCTTTGTTGCAGGTGTGCATCCAGTCCATGATGGGGCTGGTATTTGATGTGGCCTCTGCCGCCGAAGTCTGGAATTCCATTGGCAGCCACATGTGACCCCCGACTCGTCTTTGGACAAATACATTGGGTTCGCAGCGTGAGAAGCACTCTGCTGTGAACCGGCAAGGGACATGGAACAAAGCAGGAAAACACATTGGATTGCACATGTCGAATGCAGCATGAGATGCACCGCATGCGTAGTGTGAATTGAGTTGGAACAGCCTTCTTCGAGCCATCTCTGAAAAAGAACCTGAAGCTAGGCACTTCGGAATGCTTTCCAGGCTGGGAAAAGTGGTCTGCCCAAGCTACAGTATTAAGATCTGCCCAAGCAGCTGTATCATCTCAACTTTGTACTTGCTCACAAGTGCCCGAATCCTGGCAGAACCGATGATTGCAATCAGGCGCCACGTGGCTTGTGAACTGCCTTGTCAGCACCGGGCGCTGGGAGGAAGTGACCTAAGCTGGCGAATCGTAGAGTTCTGTAGGAGCAGATGTCAGTAACTCAGGCACAAGCGAGGGCGGTTTCCTCGCAGGGCAAGCCCGACTTGATGCGATTTGTCAAATCTTGTGAACTGAACTTCGCGACGAGATTGCCTCTGGCACCTCCGAGTCACCCAAAGCGCTCCGAACCTGCGAACGCAAATCAGCCTAGCTCTCAAAGGTACCCCCAGCTCCAACAGCGGAGCCTCCTGGCTCATGCAGCGAGAAAGTTTGGCCTTGATCTCATCAACAGCCTGAGGGAGGACGGGTGGGACGGAGGCGGGGATGGAAGAGAACAAACACACCCGAAACAAGCAACAACGCCATTGCACACTGCACAACAGCTGTCGTGGGCGGCTGCAAGGGTGGTTGTCCCCCCACTTCGAAGAAGCGTGGCTGCTGGATGGTTCGGAATAGAAGCGTGGACTTGGAGGTCCTGACGGTAGTAAACTCAACTTTCGACGGTCACCTTCAATTCCTTCAATTGGAAGGCAAATTTTTGCAGAGGTCGCAAAACAAACATACAGTGACTGCCAGAGTCACGATCGACAGTGAGAATAGACCTGTGATCCACTCCATGAACATGCATCGTTTTCGCCAGACTGTGCCATGCCACTTTCGGTGACGCACGCTTTACATTTACACTGCAAGCTACAAGGGGGATTAGAACTGGATTCGAGGACTGCGCATAGATACACCCGCAACAGGAACCGTGGCACCGACTCGATTCATGGGCTTGGGCACGCGAAGATTGCCTTCCGTCTCACGCAGACTGGCAACATGCCTCGTGCCCGGAAGCTTGTGCGGTGTACCGCATGGCAGCACTATAGCTTGACTTCACTGCCAACTTCCACAGTGTGAGGTGCATTTCAGTGGCGCAAAGTAATTAGCGTGAAAACTGAAAGCTGGAGTCAAACCTTAGCCACATCTGCCGGGGTTCAATGCAAGCACCCCCAGTGTCAACTAGCACCCTGCTGGTCCTCGTCGAATTGCTGTTTTGTCTGCCTGACTTTACCCATGACACTAGAGGCCCAGAAGCATGAGCAACTTATCCTGAGGGTTCCGAACAAAACGAGTGCCAAGACCAGTCGACTGGCACGATCGCGTGGTCGGCATGATATGCAGCGCACTTGAGTTAAACCTGTAACCTGAAGCAACCTACAATGCAGCAAGAAAGCAGAACGTGCGAAAGCCGCATAAATTGCCTAAGTGTGTTCGGGATGAATGGGAAGTAAGGGCACTGGACAGATTGGATTTAACTGAGCTCAATGAATTGAATAATTTCTAATGTCAGATATCCGCATGAAAAT